ACCCCAGGTTACTCCACCTGAAGATTAACCACCCCAACCCTACCTGGGGAGGAGGTTAGGTTAGGTTATATATTGAGTGTCTAATTTACGTATAAGAAAGATATATAAAACAGTTATATAATGACATAGTGCATTGGTATAAGATAGGTTATATTATAAATGACGCAAAAAACAATGATATTGGTTTTTTGTAACGAAATATGGAGAGAGAGAAAGAGAGAGAGAGAGAGAGAGAGAGAGAGAGAGAGAGAGAGAGAGTTGTGTGTATGTAGTGCCAAAGGTATGTTGTACAGACAAAGATTTAGTGCCAGTTAGTGCCATTTTTCCCTGGACCTTCAGCTGTTTGAGGGGTCACCCACCTGGCCAGGGTCACCCACTTCCTCAGTGCCTCGACTCCTCTGTCTAAATTAAATTAATTTTAACTCAATTAGATTTTTTTCGATTAATTTTCTTCCTCCTTCTCTTCCTCCTCCTCCTCCTCCTCCTCCTCCTTATTCCCTTTCTCCTCCACCTCCCCTCCTCCTTCCGCCTCTTCCCCTCTTCCTTTTTCTCTTCCATCTTATTTTCTCCTCCTTTTTGTAACATAACCTAACCTAACTTGTCCCGACCTAGTATGACCTGACCTTTCTAAAGGGCTTGACCTCGTCCTCCCTGATACTGGGGTCAAAAGGTGTGAGGTATGAATATTTATGTTTGTTTTGGATGAACAACGTCAGTGAGAGAGAGGGGGGGACAAACAAACAGTCTGGACAGAGAAAGACAAACAGACAGAAACAAACAAACAAGCACAAACAGACAGACAGAAACAAACAAACAAGCAGACAGAAATAAACAAGTAGACAGACAGACAGACAGACACATAGACAAAAACATACAAACAAGCAGACAGACAAAGAAATAAACAAGCAGACAGACAAATGACAGACAAACAGACGGGCAGTTCAACACAGCATCCCCACAGCGGTAACGTGAGGAGATGGCCCGACCCATCCATCTTAAAGAAAAGTCGAGGCGGGTCACAGTGTCGGCCCGGGTCTGACGGCTCACCTGACACTCTGCTGATGGTGGTGTCAGATTATGTGGGATAGTGTGGTAGTAGTAGTAATTAGTGGTAGTGGTAGTAGTAGCAGTGGTTGTGGTAGTAATATCAAATAAGACAAAAAATCAACCATAAAAACCTGATAAAAATTATACATTTCTCAGAATCTTAGAAATCTTAACTTTACGATATTTACTGAAAGATCTTACGATATTAATATTAAAGAAATATATTGAGTTCGCCCTATGACTTTTAATACTAAAATATATTTGTGAGTGTGATTACTACCAAGTTTCTTGCCTTTTATTATATAAACACGTTTAGGAAGGATTACTCTACAGTCGAATGAGGGGCAGCCTGATCGAGTGTTTGTACAAGTTACCGGCTTATCATCATTGACTCGAATACGCTGGATGGCTTCAAACATAGGTTGAGTGGATATATGGGCGATAGAGTTGAGCAAATGGATCAGGATAAGCCGATGTTATAATGACAAAAACATTCCTAAAAATACCAACATCTGCATATTTTAAAGTACTAAAAATAGCCACTAACCTGGCCTTATGCCATGAGGTCCTGGGACTTACTCCTGATGCCTCTCCATATCCCTTTACTCATAAGGTCCACAAGACTTACTCCTGATGCCTCTCACTCATCGACTTACTCTGAGTTCTAAGACTTACTCTGATGCCTCTCACTCATCCTTCACTCATGATCCTGAACCTCTGATACCTCTCACTTATCCTTCCTACTCACGAGTCCCAGGGCACCTCCTGATGCCTCTCCTCATCCTTCTCACGAGGTTCCCAAGACACCACTCTAGTGCCTCTCACTCATCCTTTACTCACGAGGTTCCAAGACTTACTCTGATACATCTCACTTATCCTTACCTACTCCCTGAGGTCCACAAGACTTACTCTGATGCCTCTCACTCATCCTTCTCACGAGTCCCTGCAGACTTACTCTGATGCCTCTCCACTCATCCTTTATTACTCACAAAGTTCTGGGCTCACTCCTGATGCCTCTCCTCTGCCTACTCCTGGGGTTCCCAAGACTCACTCACCTCGGTAAATGACCTGGTCTCTACCCCTTTAAGCTGTTGTTTACACCTTCTGGTCTTCCCACGGTGGCTGCCTCACTACTACTGATAAGACAGACCGTTCACATGGGCCCATTCTAACCCTAACCTAACCTAATCCTGTCCAAACCCTAACCTAACCATTCTCGGCCCTAATGGAGACAACTCTCTCTCTCTCTCTCTCTCTCTCTTTGGGTGAGAGAGGGACCAATGTTAAGGTCACCTGCTCCTGGGCTGTCAGCAAGTCCTTCACCTCAGTGGTTATCGGACAAAAGGTCAGAAGAAACAAATTAATACGATAAGTGAACTATGCTATGTGTTTACCATGTGGGGTGGTCCGTTATCATGTGAGAGAGAGAGAGAGAGAGGACACATCTCACCTGTCGTTAGTTTGAAATACCAATATAAAAACTTCAGCCACAAGTTTACCGTAACTGCCCCCCCCTCCCCATTTCTCCTCTCTCCTTCCCCTCTCCCCTCCACGCTCCTTCCTTTCCTTCCCCCATCATCAGATATTTGCGCTACCTGTCCCTCTCATCTCGGCCTTCTCCTCTCCCACCGTAACCCAGCTACACATACCCTCATATTTTCCTCCTTAAGCAATGACGCCGTTCCTTCCTGTTCTTCCTCCCCTCCCCCCCCCACCATTATGACACACCGTCCTCTCCTCTCTCCCTCCTCCTCCCTCTCTCCCTACCATTGTAACAAAGAACCCCTCCCATTCTCTTTCTCCCCACCATGACAAGCCCCCTCCTTACCTTCTCCTCCCCCTTTCCCCCACCTCTTCCTTCTTCTTGACATGACCCTCCACCTCCTATTTCCCCCCACCCCACCCCCACCCCTCCCCCCACCCCCACCAGCTCTCCTGTTACAGTAGCTTCCTGGAGTCTACTGTAAACATTCCTCAGTCGCCAGCCTAAGTGGTATCTCTCAGGATGTTTCTCACTCTCTTCCGGCGGCTTATTGATGTTTTCATTCTTTGGAGACAGGCCAAGGGAGAGTGGAGAACAATCAGAGGATGGAGGAGGAGGAAAGGAGGGAGGAGGAGGAGGAGGGAGGAGAGAACGAGGAGGTGTGAGGAATGGAAAAGTGGGAGAATCAAAATGAGGGAGAGAAAGGAGGGAGAAAGTAGAGGAGAGAGAAGGTAAAAGAAAAGTCTGAAAGGATGGAAGAAGAAAGATTAATAAGCAAAATAGAGAGAGAATGAGATAAAAGATAAATAAATGGAAATTAGGATAAGAAAATAAATGAAAAGAAATCCAAGGACAGAGAGAGAGAGAGAGAGGACATTCTTCATCTGAGGAACATTCCACCTAGGAACATTCCACCTAAGAACATTCTACCTAGGAACATTCCACCTAGGAACATTCTACCTAGGAACATTCTACCTAGAAACACTGGTCACGCTATCACTGGAGGGCAGCAACACAAAATTAATCCCTTAAATTAATCATATATTGTAAAAATCATTAACTTTTTTCCTTCTGTTTCTGCCAATGTGTTGAGTCTTGCTCCAATTAACTATAATGAGATAGAGACGTAATGGAAGAACAAAATTAATGGTCTTACATATAATTAATGTGGTTGAAATTGATACGATGATAATAATAATAATAATAATAATAATAATAATAATAATAATAATAATAATAATAATACAGAAATAACAATAACAACAATGATAACACCAACAACACCACCAACATCAACAACAACAATAACATAACAAGAACAGGAACAAAAACAACAACACAATAACAAAAACAACACCACAATAACAAAGGCAACAACAAAACAACAACACAATAACAACAACAACAACAACAACAATTTCAGATATATAAGAATAATTTACATTTTCTTCGTGTCATCATCGGGTATCAAGAGTCTACCTTTAATTAGTGGAACAGGTGAGCATGGGACTTGGATTACGGGGTATGATGCCGTGGACGGAAGGTGTGACAGTGGATTAGTGATGTCATGCGTGACATTTTAGTGTGTCAGTGGTACGAGGTGTGGTGGTTGGGTGGGTTGGTGGTGGTGGCTGTGGGTAGGTGGGGGGGGAGGTGGGGTGAAGGTGGGAGGGTGGGTAGGTGAGGGTGTTAAGTAAATCCATAGAAGTGAAAGTGGGTGGAGGAGGAAGACGGGTGGAGGGGTGTAAATAGTGAGAGTGAGCCGGTTGTGGGTGGTGGGTGTGTTAGGGTGTTGTCCCGTGAATAAAGTAAAAATGAAAAGAAAAGGAAGAGCGAAAAGGGTGTTGGCTAAGATAGTGGGCGGGAAGAGGAGGAGGATGAGGAGAAGGATGCGGAGGAGGATATGGGGGAGGAGGAGGGGCAAAGGAGAATGAGGAGGAGGAGAGAGAGAGAGAGAGAGAGAGAGAGAGAGAGAGAGAGATGTAATAACTGAGAGGCGTTGTGTAAGGTAGAGTCTGGGTGGAGGGAAGGACTGAGGGTGGAGAGGGCGGAGGTTGAGGGTGTGGAAGGGCAGTGTAGAGGTGAAGAGGGTGAAGGACAT